GGATGAGAGGAAATGGCCTCAAGTTGCACCAGGGGAGGTTTAGATTGGATGTGAGGAAAAATTTCTTTACTGAAAGAGTGGTTAAACATTGGAAGAGGCTGCCCAGGGAAGTGGTGGAGTCACCATCCCTGGAAGTATTTAAGAGACGTGTAGATGAGGCCTTAGGGACATGGTTTAGTGGGCATGGTGGTGTTGGGTTGACGGTTGGACTCGATGATCTTAGAGGTCTTTTCCAACCTTTATGATTCTATGATTCTATGACTAAAGAACGTCGTCCAGATGCTCCTTGAGCTCTGACAGGCTTGGTGCTGTGACCACTTCCTGGGGACCCAGGTCCATTGACAGGTCACCCTCTGAGTGAAGAACCTTTTCCTGATACCCAATCTGAACTTCCCCTGACACAGCTTCATTCCATTTCCTCGTGTCCTATCACTGGTCACCAGAGAGAGGTGATAAGCATCTCCCCCTCCACTGCCCCCCTTGAGGAAGTTGTGGACTGCGATGAGGTCACCCCTCAGCCACCTTTTCTCCAAGCTGAACAAACCAAGTGACCTCAGCTGCTCCTCGTGAGTCTTGCCCTCGAGGCCTTTCACCACCTTGGTCACCCTCCTCTGGACACACTCTAATAGTCCTTCTATTGAGGCGCCCGAAACTGCACACAGTACTCAAGGTGGGGCCACACCAGTGCAGTATAGAGTGGGACAGTCACCTTTCTCGACGGGCTAGCTATGCTGTGCTTGATGCACCCCAGGGCACGGTTGGCTCTTCTGGCTGCCAGGGTACACTGTTGACTCATTCAACTTGCCATCAACCCAAACCCCCAGATCTCTTTCCATTGGGCTGCTCTCCAGCCTCTCGTCCCCCAATTTCCATGTATAACCAGGATTACCCCATCCCAGGTTCAGAATGCGGCACTTGCGCTTGTTAAATTGCATATGGTTGGTGATTGCCCAGCTCTATAGTCTTTCCAGATCTCTCTGTAAGGCCTCTCTACCCTTGAGGGAGTCCACAGCTCCTCCTAATGTAGTATCATCAGCAAACTTAATGTACATTTGATTCCTGCGTCCAGATCATAAAGACGTTAAAGAGCACTGGCCCTAAAATTGAGCCCTGGGGAACCCCACTGGTGACTGGCCGCCAGGCTGATGTAACCCCATTTACTGCAACTCTTTGAGCCTAACCCATCAGCTAATTGTTCACCCGATGTATTATGGACTTGTCTAGCTGTACGCTGGACATGTTGCACAGAAGGATACTGTGAGAGACATTATCAAAAGCTTTGCTAAAATCCAGAAAAACCCACATCTGCTAGCTTCCCTTGGTCAGCTAGATGGGTGACCTTGTCATGAAAGGAAATTGGCTGCATTGTCTCTCAGGTGGTTTTCAATAACTCCTAGAATAACCTTCTCCATAATTTTAGCAGGCACTGAAGTGAGACTGACAGGTCTGTAATTACCAGGGTCTTCCTTCTTACTCTTCTTGAAAACTGGGACAATTTTCTCTCCAGACTCCCAAGACTGTTGAAAAATAATGGAGAGAGGTCCCGCAATAACATCAGCCAGCTCTTTCAGTACCCTGGGATGAATCCCATTGGGCCCCATAGACTTATGCACATCCAGCTGGAGCAGCAAGTCTCAAACAAGTTCAGGGGTGGCTGGGAGTTTATCATTCCCCTAGTCACGGTCTTCCAACATGGGGCTCAGGGGGTCCTAGGGCCCATCATCGATGTTGAAGACAGAGGTGAAGAAGGCATTGAATGTCTCCGCTTTGTCTGCGTCCCTCTTTGGGAGGTGACCCGCCTTATCAAGTAACAGACCAATGTTATCTCTGATCCTCCTTTTGCTGTTAACATATTTTAAAAAAAACCCTTTTTGTTGTCCTTCACAGTACTTGCCAGCTTGAAGTCTAGTCGAGCTTTGGCCACATGAATTTTCTCTCTGCAGTGGTGAACAGCATCTCTGTAGTCCTCCCATGTCACCTGTCCTTGCTTCCAACATTCATACACTTTCCTTTTCTGCCTAAGTTCTAGAAGAAGATCCCTGCTCAGCCAAGCCAGCCTTCTGCCCCACTTGCTTGACTTCTGACACTTTGGAATTGCCTGCTCCTGCACTCTTAAGTTAAATTCCTCAGTGTGTGCCCCTATACAGATTAGTACCTGATTTTAAGTTCTGAATTAAAGTTGTGACATTTTACCTATGCTTCTTTCCTTTTTGTGATGTTCCTTTAAATTGGTCTCTAATTTTTGTTCTCAGTCTTAGCTCAGGATAATGTAGTCTTGCTTGAATTGCTCATTTAAGACCTTATTAAGCAGTGTACATGAATACAGTTGCTGTCCTCACTGTGACTGCACACATTTGCAGAGCTATGCCATTGGACCGTGAGGTCTTTAAGGCAGGTGCTACACTTGGCTTACAAAGAAAAGAGCATGTTGTCATTTTACAACCAATAATAAAGCTGTTGACCTGTACTTACTTTCAGGAAAATGAATGTCAGGAAAGCATCAGAAAAGCTGCTACTCATAAAGCTGAAAACTAGCTTTAATAATGAAAAAAAAAAAAGGGAAAAAAACCCAACCCAGCTGAAAAATCACTAAAATAGATAGTGCTGAGGTGGGATAGCTGTAAGATGTGTTGGTAGAGAATGTTTTTCAATGACTTGCTTCTATGTCTAGGCCTGCTTTGGGAGTAAGGTGGAGAATAGGATTTCCTTTCTTCAGGATTGGTGCTACAACGCATAAGGTCGGTAGCCAGTCATTTTAACTTTTGGCAATACACTTCAGTTGTTTCCTTTTTTTTCCTAAAGAGAAAGAATATGTATGTGCAAGTGGTGCAATTTTGTAGCTGTCTTGGAGATTTGTGTTGCGAATGCCAATGCTGGTTATCATCAGGAGTAATGAAAAATGTTTGGAAAAACAGTTTTAAAATTAATTGGAGCAAATGTCACAAGGGTATTTGTGCTGACAAATAACAGTAGAAGCTAAAAAGTATTAGTAATTTGTGCTTAATAGGGAAAAGAGAACTAAGATGTACTAAGCATCATGGAAGTACTGAATTCTTTTTCACTATTCAGTGAGGTAATTGCAGAGCAAGTACTTGAAAACATTAATTTGAGTATTAGTAAGACATACAAAACAGACTTTTCAGCTTTTCTGTGAAGGCAAACAGCAATTGTCAATGATTCCATAGTCAAAAGGATTGTCAGTGAATTTAGTAGGGCAGTATTAGCAGCATAGCTGAGTACTTCGTAATAGAATAGAATTCTCCCAGAACATCTCTCTAAAAAAAGGGAATTTTTCTGTGTCTCAGAAAACTTGCTAATAAGAAGTGATTCATCTGAAATTTTGCCCAGTAAATCTGTAATGGAGCAGAAACTTGAACACAAGCTTCCTAACTTACAGGCCCTTACTTTAACTATTCTTCCATCCCCAAGAAGGTTAAAGTAGAAGAACTCCAAATGACTTTATTTCATTTCTAAAATGAAATTCATTCTTAAAGTCCTATAAATAAAAGGAAGCAAAACCCAAACTACTAGAGATTAGCTGTGTGGCTGGTGTAAAACTGCAGGCTCTGTTTTCATATAGTATTAGGCTGCATTC